TTGAATTATGTGAATTTCATTCGTAACATTAATTCCTGGCTCCGTCCCTGATTCTACACTTGAGATCAATCAACCATGAGTTGAGAAAAACATCAAAATCATATAATCCAAAACACCTACTTCCTAAATATAATCAGGAGGTACTTTCTCAATAACTTTCAGATGTTGCTGAAGATTGGAGGAGATTGAACTAGAGGCAAAAAAAGAGTATAAGAACATGTGTTCTTGGGATTCACAGGAGGAGAGAGATAATTCAAGAAGATCGAAAGCAGGTGTGAATTAAGCACATTCCAACGGGTATTAGAGATTGTAGGAATTATATTGGCGAGTCTAGTGAATTTTCTAGGTTGGATCATATTATAAGTTCTTATTATCTATAATGAAAGTCACTGGTTTGGTCCTGAAATTTTTAATCGTATCAATGATTTTTCTGTTAATAAATTTTGTATTATTTACTGCTTTATTTACTATTGTGGCATTTCAACATAGTATAAAAATGGTTTGATTGACTAAATATCTGGAACAACTAAAATGTGAATTGCTTATTTTAAATTGGTAATTTTAATTTCGTATTATTCACCTATTTACCACCTCAAAGTGATTTTTAGGGTCAAACTAGTAATTTTGAAATTTCTATCCCCATAATCAAAAAAATTAAAAGTAAAAAAAAAAAAAAACAATTAGGATAGAATCATTTTCTGATTTGTGGTTCTATGTATTAGCCTCCACTTGGTTCTAATTTTTCACCCCAAAAAAAAATCAGTTTTTTGATTGTTACTTTCCTAAATCAGTCGTTATTTTTTATTTCTTCACTCACAGATGAGATCACGATCAAAGAATTGATTCTCAAAATCACTAGTGAACAAACCCTTAATATCAAAATCGACCATTCAATTTATTATTGGAAAATGTTACGCGCACATAATACACACAACATTATGCCCCATCGGGAGTCAACGTACAATAAAATATTCGTGACCCATCCTTCGTTATTTTGCCTATGGGAAAATTTCATAAGTGAGAGATTAATATGGTAGATTTCAAAATTAAGAAAATAAGTTTCAAAATTCAAAAATTAGATTTTTATTAAAATTTATTTATGATTTAATTATTTAATTAATTTAATATATTTAGGTTACAGTTTTTGGTCACTATTATCTAATTAATTAGTCACATTTTATCAAATTATTGGTCGTAACTTATTTCTAGGTCACAGAATATTTTTTGATCACGAATGCAAAAAATTTACAAGTCACAGATTATTCATCGGTCACATATCAGATTAATTTTTAGTCACGGCTTATTAAATTATTGGTCATAACTTATTTCTCGGTCACAGATCGAAAATTTTATAGGTTACGAAATATTCATTGGTCACGAATCTAAAAATTTTATAGGTTACAAATTATTCATCGATCACATATTCAAAACTTTTATTGATCACAATTCATTTACTCATTTCCACAACCACCACAATCGAGTCAAGCAATTTATTGGTCATAGACACCATTGATCCACTTGACCGACGCCGACGTTGTCGCCACAAACACCATGCCGCTATCACCTGCACCGCATCCAACAACCAAGAAAAAAATCAACACCACGATCTACACCGCTATAGCCACGATCTACGCCATCACCGCCACAATCTGCCCCGTCAACCACACAATTTGCAACTGCGACATTGCGATCTGCAAGCCTCCGACGATGCTCACACACCACTACAGCCACCTTGATCGCCATATTAGACACCATTGCAACACCTCAAACAACCCACCGCAACACTTCAAACAAACCACGACCATCTCTTCGAATCACCACGCCAACCATTGCCGCACCACCACCACACAACTCACAGTGGATCTGTAGTAGAAATAGGAGAGAAGAGGAAAGGGAGAGTCGTCGGCATCATTGGAGTGGTGAGGGCAACATTGCTTCAATTGGCTTCACTCCGACACCGACGATTGACTTTTTATTTCTCCCTATTGATAGTCGACGGTTGAGAGGTGAGCTGAGAGAGAAATGTAGAGAGAGAGACGAGAGAGAAAGGAGAGAGAGAATTTTGAAAATTAATTAGGGTTTGTGTGTAATGGAGTGTGTATATATATAGTAAAAATATTTATTTTAAAAAATATTAATTAAAATAAAATCTCTGATTTTTTAAAGATTAGACTACTCTTCTTATTTTAGAACCGTAAATTTTTAAAGTACAAAATTGTGTAATTACCTGGCCCTTTCAATTAGATCTGCAGATTACTTTCGCACTTTGCCAGCTACTACAACGTTCCCATACCGGAATTACACAGAAAATTAAGAATTTCAACAGCTCTTTCTCTATCTTTCACACACATACACACAGTGCTTTCTGATTTATACTCTCGTGAACCTAGGTTTTGAATCCACAATCTCAAATTCATTTGCATATAATTTTTTCCTTACAGTTACAGTTTTGTACATGTGTGTTCACTACTAAATTCACGGCGATGCATTGATATCATATACACACACATATATTGATGCATGATATCGTTGAATTATAGTCCATCCAGAAGCCAGGCGAGCTCGAGAATGCCGTTGGTCGGAGGCAGTGTATCGAGGCTGAGATCCTTGTGTATAAGGAAGCCCCCAGAGCCGCTGCGCAGAGCAGTTGCCGATTGTTTGTCGGCTGCCGCTTCGGCCCAACAGGCCACGCTGTCCACTGAAGCTTCCAGGATTTTACGGGTTTGAATTCTTGCCATTCTTTTACTCAGTTCTGCGCTTTTATTCAGATCTTTTGCCTCTTTTGCAGTATTAGAATCTAGGGTTTCGTTTAACTGTTCTTGTATACATTTGATAAGAACAATGCTTTGTAGCCCAAAATGACAAGTTCAAATTAAATGTGGTGACCATGACCACATTAATTAAATTTACCATTTAGTGCCACGTAGACTGCTGTTAAAATCACCAGTTGGGCTAAGACATCGGTGGCGTTTGCAATTCGGGAATGTATATTGCTGAGTGATCGTGATTTTTCTGCTAAAGTATGCTCGTTTTGATACAAAAAGCCTGTTTTTAACGGATGGAATGAGTGGGAATTAAAATTTTATTATTTTATTTTCTTGATGGGTATTCTGTAATTGGGGAGTTCAAGTGAATCAAAATATCATATTGAATCTCAAATTTGGTCAGCACTTATTACATTGGCTTTTGTTTCTTACACTTGATGCCATTTATCGTGGGACTGAGGATTCTATTCATACTTGGGCGACACCCATCTCCCGCAAAAAAGGAGAACCGAGATAATGGGATGGTTTTTTTGAGTTTGAAACTATAGTAAATTGGCGTGCTATGCTATATCTACAACAGGACTATGCCCCAATGATTTTAGAGATGGACGTGTTTACTCGAAGTAATTATGCGAGACCAATTTGGTGCTTATCAACTTGCCACGAGTTCCCCCCCCCCCCCCCCCCCCTCTCCCCCCCCAACCCCCCCCCCCTTTTTTTTTTTTTTTTTTTTTTTTTTTTTTAAAAAAAAAAAAAAAAAAAAAAAAAAAAAAAAAAAAAAAAAAAAAAAAAAAAAAAAAAAAAAAAAATTTTTTTTTTTTTTTTTTTTTCTAATTTTAGTTTTCTTTAACTGTGCAAGTTCTACTACTCTGTTTTCCCTCTATGTTCAACACCCATAGCTTTTATGGTATCTCATAAATACCCTACAGCGCTCCAAAAGGATTGGGTAGTTCCTTGTACCAGGTCCAACACCAATGCCCTCATCCTTTTTTTTTTTTTTTGGTAACCTTTGGGCATGTCAAACCATGTCTGAACACCCCATCGCCTGTGATCAATGCTGTGTCAACATGAAAGACGTGTTGGGTATTGTACATGCTCATTTTCAAGAATTTCGTTGCTTTAGATAAAAAAACAACTAAGCATGGCCAACTCTATGCACATGCTTAATTTTTTAGAATTAATTTTAAAATGTTTTATATTTTCTTATATGGGAAGTGATCATTATTAAATAATAATTTAAATCACATTGCATTGCTACTCAATAAAGAAACATTAATTAGATTTTCTAATTAAATGAACTGTTGCGTGATTTTATCGCAAGTGTACGATTTCGATTAACAAGTGATAAAGTGAACTTAATAGTTTGAATTATCATTTTCACGAGGACTATCTATCTAAATATTGATTAAACTGTTTCTAAAAGCTTCGTCATTGGTCCTCGAAACCTCCATAATCACCCAAAATTGGTTCTTCTCCAGTTTTGTGCAAACTAAATCACAAACTTTCCATTAACTTATGACTTTCCTTCGATTGTTCTCTTAATACTTTGTATCAATCCCGTATAATCTTGTTAGCCTTCAATATCAACTCCAATGTAGCTCAAAAATCTTCTTTTTTGCTCCAAATACTTCCAAGTCCGGGTTTTACCTACAATAACAATATTTAGATGTATAAATCCACTCAAATTTACAAATATTATTCATGTTTTTAAGCACAAATGGGTGTGTAAAACAATCATATAATGAACTTTTTCTTTTAGGTTAAAACAGTTCTATTGCGGGTTTTTGAGTCTATTAAAAAAGTCTAATTAGATAAAAGGTGATAGCCCATCTCATGGGAAGGGGGGGAGAGAGAATAGCGAGGGATAAGGTAGAAGTTGAGAAAATCTGGTTGTGAAGAAAGTGGAAACCACAACATATATGCCTATTAAAACTTGCCATAACAAACATTCTGAAGAAATAAAATCACTTGCTTGAAGTTCTTTGCCCACTGTATATATTAATTGAAATTCTGATGCAAACAAACAAGCGTTAAGGCGACCTACAGTAAGAAAGATGATGATGTTATAGAGTTGCACATCTTGACCATTCAACTTCTGAATCTGATGTTGCCCGGGGATCTTGGTTCCATAAACTGGACATTGCAGTGCCAAGTGATTGAAAACTGGGTTGAAGCAAAGATTTGCAGTAATCTTCTATCATATGAGCTTGAAACATAGTTTTATGGTGATGTTCTGTTGGGATGGGCTTGCTTTGTCATATGCAGGACAAAGTTGTAGCGCTCTCTCTCTTTTTTTTATAACTATATTGGATTGCAATCTATCAAGTTTTGAGAAATAGTAAAGCCATTCCAGTCACTCTTTACTGAGTCATAATAACTTCAATTTCTTTCTGAAAAAAAGATTCTTTTTATGAAAAAAGCTGCTGCATACTAATCTTCTTATCAACAGAATAAAGGATAAGATGAGCCAATTGGAAGGAGAAATTTTCCATAGCTAGATCAATATTAAAGGGAGTGTTCTAAAAAGTCTCATGTAATGCTTTGGGCTCTAGAAAATTGTTCAATCTTAGGCAGGGAAATGTCTCAAGAAGAGTTGCACTTCTTATGGACTCCAAAAAAGTTCAAATTTTACACTCTTGAAGTTAGTTTGTTTAATGATCTCATCTCCGAGTCCTTTTATATTTGCAGATATAAACCCAGTGAGGAGACGTTGCTACAGATTGATCGATTTTGTGTAAGTATAATTGCTGAGTGTGGTGTGAGCATTAACCGTAAATTGGCTCCATGGTCGCGTTCTTTGAGTCAACAATCTGGGATGCCAACACCCTCTAAAAATATCTCTCTTTTACCCGTGTCAAGTTCTGCATCTGGGGAACTTGTAAAATCCTTAAATTATGTTCGTTCTCTAGTGGCTCAGTATATGCCAAAGCGGTTGTTTCAATCAGCAGTTTTTGCTGGAGCCCCTCCTGCATCAAGGCAATCACTTCCAGCATTGTCATCTATATTAAGCAGATCGTTCAATTCACAATTCAGCCCTGCAAATAGTAAGGATGCTATAGACAACAAAGAGACATCTATTACATCTGTTTCAGACTCCCCAGTTGCTGAAGAAGTTGATGAAATGGAAGATCAAGAGTTCATAGCTCTTGATCTTTTCAGATGGCGCTGGTTTGGTGACCAGCAATTGTCAGATCTCTTGCCCAAAAGGTATTATTTCATCTGTTAGAAAACTTCTGTAATTAGCATTTCTATACATTCTAAAATTGCCCACTTACAGCGAGCACATTCCGAATCCCCAAGATGGACGAACTCATAATTTCCTAGAAGTAGGTGCAGCAGCTCTTCTTGTAGGGGATATGGACCCCAAAATGAAGGTTGAAGCTTGGAAATTTTTTGGGAGAGCAGATATGCCTTATCTCGATCAGCTGTTGCAGCCATCATTGCTCACGACCGTTACCAACTCTGCCTCTGCTCGGGCCCATTTAAGAGCAATAACAGCACTGAAACGGTCTAAAACAGGGCCCAATCAAATTTGGTACGTTCTTCTTAATTATTTTAAAACAAGTTTGTGGTTTGCCTCTCTTTGTTAGTGCTTGGACATCTTATAGCTATGACTATTTTCTCTTCTGGTGCCAGTGAACTACATGGCATTTGTTTCCCTTTATGATTTGTTTTTGTGAAATGTCGTTCTAACTTGTAAACAAGTCGTGTGAATATTTTTGTCAGAAAATCAAAATATGAACAACAACAACTTACTCATGCAAAGGAAGTACGACTTCTACTTTTTGGATGTATCTCATGCTTAATAGGTTTGAACCCGTATAACCTCATGTCAGTCGATCAGTTCTGATGTGCAATAGATTTAGAAGCTGTAACTATGTGACCTAAAAAACTGTTTTTTAGTTGGATGAAGATATTAAAAGGTCTCCGTGCATGTTAATGGGAATCTGTCGTTTTTGTATATGTTTGTGTGGGAAAAAATTGGAATCAAGTGTGATATATTGCTGTAAATGGAATGGAATACTATTTAATGTAAACTATGAAATTGTTGTACTGAATGGAAGCAGTTACAGGAAAATGGCCAGCTTTCAAGAAGCTGCCTCTTTCCCCGAATCGCACCCTAATTTCTACTAAATGAAAATAGAACTTCATCCCGTTATTTAGAACGAGTTGGTGCGATTATTTTGCAGTCTACTCTAAAACCCTAATCCCTTAACGACCTAACAATTAAACTATGACAACAACTTGAAGTATGCCTAACACATGTTTGGTATGCTGTGCTAGACAGACCTGCACACTACAATGAACAAAAATTTAGTTTCTTTTTGTTCCTTAATATTTTGCCATCCAGTGTAATCCACCTTCGCAAAACAGGCCATCAGTGTTCAATTCTTATTATGTCTTGGTTCAAGTACTGAATCTAACAGAGGTTTGGTGGAAAATCCAAACGCTGCTGTAACCTCATTTGATTTTATTTCTTAGAGTATAATTTAAGTTTTGGAAATTTTAGTCTGAGATTTACCTAGGTTGCGGATAGAAAATGTGATTGGGATGCTAATGATGTTCAAAATTTAAGAATCATTTGAGATTTTCCTGGACTGAAATCAATTTATTGCTTTTGGCATTATATTCAAGGTCATGTGGTTGATTGATTATATATTACTCTTGGAAGTTTTGATAAACTCATAAATGTCATACATGTACCTGCAAGCAAAGTTGTACAACTCCACATAAATGGAAGTCGACGTCTTATACACCGTTGAATGTATGTTTCCCAACTTAAGAATTTGAATTATATTACTGTGTGTTTTTTAATTGCTGGAGTCACTATTATGAGTTTGGTAGGCCTTCCTTAAGGGATAAATGAAGAGTGAAAAATTACATAATTTATAGATTTCTCGCTCCATTTGACATTCAAGTACTTTTTATTTTCCATTCCACTCTTCCTTTTTAAGTTTTTTCTTCTTTGGGTGTTTGGCAGAGGTTTATATGATTTAACTTGATCTGTTAGCAAAAAATGTTGCGTGCAGTTTTTTTTAGTTCCCTTCATCTTTTCTCCCCCACTATACACCTGGTAAAAGGTAACTAGATCAGAAGGTGTAAGAAGTAGTTTAAAAATAGAATATTCTGAAGGACTGCCAGAATCTAGTGTAATGATATACCAGATACTTACTTTATGTTGCCTTAAAGGTATGTGTTAAAGTGAAACTTCTAGTTGTTGATGAAGGGTGTAGGCATGCAAACATAGATTTCTATGTATTCAAATTATGACCTGCTGATTTGGTTTTGGTGATCTAATCAACATCCAGTACTTTCTGACTTTGCATTAACAAATGGAGAGAACAATTAAAAATTTTGGTGCTTTATTTCATATTGCAGGTGTCTGTTTAGTTAATTTTTCATTTTATGTTCTATTATCAACAACATGACCATCTTCTCAATGCTGCGACTGCATATTTATCTATCACATGGTACTAAAGTTGAATAGTGGAAGGTCTTGTTCAACTGTGTCATAGTTGCGCAACATAGTATGAGACTTGAATTTTGTCAGACTTTGATATTGATCCGAGGATCATCCTTTCTTATTTCACAGGGAAGATTCTCCTTTGAGCAACTTTCGTCCTCGCGTGAAACCACTGTTCCAATATCGTCATTACAGGTAAAGAATAGGTCTTTTCAGGCGTGATTGACCATCTTGACAATAAGAGCTTGCTGTTATCAACGGTTTGTGAATGACTCTTCACACTTCTCTGTGTGTGCTTTGTGTGCAAACTTGCATTTACTCGAAGCAGAGTCATGATTAAGTTGACTGGTTCTCTTTTATTTATTCTTTCCTAAAAAAGGGTTAGTAATATTTGTCTGTGTTAATTTTACTGGAGTTTTGGCATTATTACGTTCTGCATGTCGTATATTTTTGTCTTCCACAATGCAACCGCAATAACAATGAGAAGCTCAGGTTTTCCCAATACTTGGGATCTGCTTCATGAATCTTTTGTTGTTCCATTTGATCCACTGTTAACTTTTGAGATACGTCCAATGAAATGAAATCTTTTGTAACCGTCTCAAGCCGTGACAAGTTTAGTCTCTCTGACTCATTCTAGCAGGATTGTATTGTTATTGAGAATGAATTATTTTGTTGTCTATGCTAGGTATGCCACATTTATCTAAATTATTCCTTAATTTATCCTCAATTGGTGTTACCTCCACTCGTTGGTTCATATTGCCATTTCTTTTATGCATTCTAGTGTCACAGAACATCCTTCTTAAGGTTATCACTTTTGCAACATTCACTTTTGAAAATTTGGTAGCCCAACACTTAATACAAAAGAAGATAGTTAGCCTAATAGCTGTAAAACCTGGAGTTTATAACTTCTGTTCTCATCCTTTTTCATTTTCTTGAAATTTTAATCTCATGCATTTCACTCTTCAAATCTTCATTCTTTATTTATAATCGAGCATAAGTATCTAAAACAATTGTCTTATGTGACACCACGATCCTTTATTAAAGTTTCTCCCTTCATCCTTCTTAATATAATACTGTAACAAAAAGGACAATTCATGTATTCCATCATATTTCTGCATAACCCAAAACCCACCATGGTTCCTTCAATATAATTTGTTGACAAATAACAGTGATGGTTATGGTATTGACATTACTTTTAGTGGTAACTATATTTCATCTGTAGATTTCATGTGTATGGACATTTAACAATTTTGCATTCATCCAGATACTGTTACATATATTATGGGGGTGTTTGAGCCACATTATTTTGGTAATAATGCATTCTTAAATAGTGTATTGATGGGAAATGTGTGGTTAAAAAATAAGGAAAAGTTTTTGATCTGCGTGTAATATTATTTTATTGAAGAATATGTGGTTGAAATGATGTCAAATCACTGTTTAAGAATGTATTTTTTTGGAATAATGTGGCTCAAACAGGCCCTATGATTTATAACACATGCACAACTGTTTTCTTTTTCTAATCGGCAATTGGAATTTATATGACCTAAAGTATGAAAAAACATATCTGTAGAACACATTGGCAACTATTTTTCTTAAGAAGATGCTTATATCTGTTAATGTTCTGCATGCATTTGGTTATTCATGCACTCTCTGGACATTGTATATATCTGTGGATGTGTTGTTTTGAATTTGTCTCTCTCACTTAATGTTTTATATACATCAGTGAGCAACAACCCTTGCGATTGAATCCTGTGGAGGTATGTGAGGTTATCGCTGCGGTGTGTGCAGAAACTCCTTCCACAAATTCTAATCTCATGACAATCTCATCTAAGCTAAGCAACAACGGAAGGCCATCCCTCGATGTGGCTGTGAGCGTTCTTGTCAAACTTATAATTGACATGTATGTTCTGATGCATTTTCTTTATAATACAGGACTCTTCATTAAACTTTTCTTTCTCTTTTTATCAACGAGTAATGACTGCACATGGTATAGTATTTATAAAAAGGACACATCATCATTATCCAATACATAGTAACAGGCATTGAGATGCTTTCAGGACCCTTTCGGGTGTCTGGTTCAAATTGCATCCAATGTTTTTGTCATAAGGACAGAACTAGCCTTTGAATAACTTTCGTGGTTTAAAGTCTCTAGTTGTTCAAGGCCACGAATACTCTCCGTGCTCCGGTATAATAAGCCAAAGTTTGACTTTTGCGAAGTAAAGGAAAGCAAACTTTTGCTCTTCATCTATTACACACTTTCTTGACTGCAGTCAATGCTAACACCCACCCGTACCATGTTTTCTCAGCTGATAATTTCTAATTCCATTTTGTAGGTATGTTTTGGATTCTGAGACTGCTGCTCCTCTCACTTTATCGATACTCGAGGTGCTGCATACTTTGCACTTGTTTTCATGCAACATGTAGTTAAAGCTACTTATTATACACATAACTTATTGTAGGATATGCTAAATTCTCCAAAAGTGATGTCAAAGGCTCAAGCTTTTGATTTAATTTTGAACCTTGGGGTTCATGCACATTTATTGGAGCCTCCAGCACCTGATGACACCTCTGCAGTTGAAGAAGAGTATTTGCATGAAGAATATTTTGAAAATGAAACTCTACTTTCTTCTCAAGGAAAGAGAAAATCTGATAATTTTAAGAAAATAGGGAATTCGTTAGCTATTGATAAGTTTGAGAACTGGATTTTGGGCATTCTCTATGAGGTTCTTCTTCATCTTGTTCAGGTATATATGATATATGGCATTGCGATAACTAGGGATATCCGGTAATTTTCAGTTTTTGCATTTTTTTTTTTTTTAAATCAAGCATGAAAGGCTGCATTCATACAAACTTAATGCTTATTGTTGTGCTTCGGCTGACAGAGAAATTTTTTCGTGGGGGCTATTATGAAGTTTAAACTTGTACACAGAAAATAATACTCAATTTTCCCCAACTAAATCAATATTTTTCTCTGAACTTTCCCTGGTTTTATGTTAGCCTCAAGTCTGTAAAATAACAAACATGTATCTAATGGAATTAAACTAATTGGTAAAAAGACGCATATACTTAGATATAATTTCATGGTGAGAGTTTGAATGAAGGAACTATCTAGGTGCTGATTTTGTTAACTGCACAAGAGAACCGAGGAAGAAGAGAAGACACAAGATGCTTCAGGTTTTTATCAAAACAAAAGATATATATTTAGATTTAGGCTCCTTTGATTATGAATATTTAATGTAAGACTGATTGAATTTGAGTAGTGAATGACAAATATGACACCATCACATTTCTTTTTTATTGCTTTTTTACTTATGCTTATGCTTCCAAGAATGGATTAAACAAGTCAACGTTCATTTTTTTTATAGAGTCAATATTTCTCGTAAATCCTTCATTTCTCTTACAATTAAGCCCTTGTATCTACTACATATATATTCCAAGTCCATGCTTCAAGCATCCCAATTGCTTCAGATTTTGTGCTTTCTCTGTATGTTTGATATGGTGGTACACATGTTAAAATGGATGTCTTGATAATATCACATAGCTGCTAAATTCCCTGCTTACAGAGAGTCCATTTAAATCTATACTTTTATCTGATTGACCTTCTCTCTCTCTCTCTCTCTCTTTTTTTTTTTTGCTGCCGCACCTTTCATGTATCATCATTATCTAATACATGCTTATTTCTCAGATAGGAGAGAAAGAAGAATCTGTCTGGGCTTCTGGCCTAAGTTGTTTACTCTATTTTGTTTGCGATAGAGGGAAAATTCGAAGAAGCAGATTACAAGGTCTTGATATTAAAGTGAGTATTTCTACACCTTGTTTTGTTATTATCTGTGAGCAAATAAGCTTTTATATTCGATACAATTTTCAAATTAATGTACTGACCGGGGTTTTAAAATGCCTTTGGCTGGGCAAGACAACAATGTCCAGCCTCAAGCCTTATGACTCTAGGCTTGCTTAGGCAAAGCATGGGCGTAATAAGGATTTCGTTATTTTTAGTCTAAGAAGCACCGACACGGACACGAGTGTCCGACACGATACGTGTCGCACACGCCGACACGTGATTTTTTAAAAAAGTTTTGACACGACACATCGCCGACACGTTGATTAAAAAAAAAAAATTTTATTTTAATTTTATAGTCTAAAGTATTAATTTTTTGTACTTATTTAATCGTATATATAATGATAAATAGAAATCAAACTTGACATTAAATTCATCAATGTTTCTTAATGACATAAGTTCAAAAAGTAAAAATGAAATTAATTACATCATTCATCTTGAATCTCTTCAACATCTTCATCTCCATCAGCAAATACCATCGCCTCCAATTCCGGTTCGTCTAGAGATAAATTAGCGACTTCAAGCACACCAATATCTTCAAATGTATCAAATGCATCTCCACTGATATCCCACATTTTAGTCTCTCCTTGTGAGTATTGCGTACTTCTCCTTGACAAGAGACAAAGATTGCTATGGACGAAAATCAAATCTTCCGCACGTTTTGGAGTTAGCTTATTTCGTTTAAGAGAGTACAAAAAGGAATAAGTACTCCAATTTCGCTCACAACACGATGAAGAAGATGGTTGCCCCAATAATTTCAAAGCATAACTTTGAAGCATAGGTGTGCAAGCACCATAAATAACCCGCCAAGTCTTTGGGTCCAAGCGGTAACGATCATGGATGGATTCAAAATCACCAAAGTCATCTTCCATAGTTGAGAATTTGGCATACTCCTTATTCACCATAATACGCTCTTCATCTGACAAGTACCTCTTAAAACATTTTATTCTTTTTGAAATCTCTACATCTCTATGTGGAGCAAGTCGAGTGGGATCCTCATTAAGCCATTCCTTGCTATAGTACCTAAACAAGAGGAAAAAAAATAAAAAAATGACAATTCATTCAATAACTAACTAAACATATTAAATATTATGATAATGTAAATAAATATTAAATGTATGAATTAAATTTAAAAATTACCTTGGATTTAGGGAATGAGACAAGCAATGAAGTGGAGTGTTATTTTTGTTCCAACGATCTACAAGTATTCGATGAACAACATTGTAGAATGATGATTCCTTTTCTTGAACTTTTTTCTCATTCCTATAAATTATTCCTCTCACTTTCTCAATCATTGTATCCCACATGTCGTAAACCAAGTGAAGGCAAGGTTTATCCGTATCACAAAATTTAAGCATGTCGTAAATGGGAGAAGTGAAAGAAAGAGCATAACTTATAGAGTCCCACCAAAGATCATCAAACACTTTCAATTTTACAAAACTTGCCTTCGTCATGTCATCTTTTCGATAAAGTGACCATTTTTCACTAATATCCAAAGCTTGAAGACCACGTCGAATAAGCTTAAATCTTTTTAACATGACAATAATAGAAGCAAATCGTGTCTCTGCTACGGAAAGCAACTTCAAAGGCACAAATTCATTAAACATTGCTAGTCTCATGGAATGTGGTTCATGATAAAAAATTTTATAATCATTACATCATCATGAAGATTAGTAATCCAATTGCATTCCTCATATGTAATCAAATTATTTTCAACATTCTTTGCGGCACAAATGTTCTTCAAAGCAAGATTTAGTGTGTGTACAACACATGGTGTCCAAAAAATATGAGGATACTCCAATTCAATTATTTGTCCGGCACCTTTGCAATTTGGAGCATTATCGGTTATTACTTGAACCACCTTTTGATGACCAATTTTATTTATAACCTCCTTCATCAAGTTAGCAATAAAATGTTTATCTTTTGTTTCATCGGAACAATCAACCGCTTTTAAAAACATTGGTCCACTCTCGGTCACCGCCATAAAATTAATTAGTGGCCTTCTTTGTGGATTACTCCTTCCATCACTCACAATGGTAACTCCTTTTTCCGCCCATGTGCCTTTAATTGGATTTAATAATCTTTCCACATTTTTTTTCTCTTTTTGAAGAAGAGTAGTTCTCAACTTGTTGTAACTGGGAGGCAAATATCCTGAAATTCGACTATTGGAAGCAAGAGTATAAGAACTAATGTAATAAGGATTTCTTGCAAGAGTAAAAGGCAAACCACTTGAATAAAACATTCTAGCAATTTCGGAATTCAATTGGTCATGTGTTGTCACATTAAAAGCATTTTCTATTGCACTATTCTTTCTTTTCCTTTCCTCCAAAACATAACAATCCTTAGACCCATATTATTCGATGGCAATGACACTCTTTTCCCCGCCTTAGTTTGCATTCTCAACTTGGCTTCATCTTCCATTTTCTGCATTTCACATATATCTTTCATAGTTACTTTTTCACAAGCCCTAATTCCATAGCCTTGTAATTTTAACAAATGTGCCTTCACTCTTGTGTAAGAACTTGTCTTAGTTGCATTACAAAAATTACATTGCCAAAGAATGTTACCACCCTTTTCATTAAATTTATCAAGTTTTGTAACATATTTTCAAAGAGGTTTAGACAAATCATCATCCATAGCATTATCACTCATAACTTCAAAAGAAAAATAATTTCAAATACTTAAGTAAAATAGGAGTGATATTACCTGAAACTTGAAAAAATATCTTCTTCTTGATCTTGCAAATGATTCTTCAAATGTGAATTGATGAAATTTTTGAAAAAGATGAAATAACAAAAAAAAAACTTGGATGTTCTGAAATTTTCTTACAATTTTCGCAAGTTAC